GACTTCGTATGTGGGCAGCGCTCCGATTGAGGGGAAAATCACTCAGCAACGAGCAGGTCCCAACCAATCACTGGTCATTGTGACCACCTACCCGGCCTGTCCAAATCTATGTGAATGCGATCAGCCATGTTGCTGGTACAAGGAGCAGCACATTTGGCATACCTGCTCTGTTTGCCGCTCAGGGTGGGCTGCAGAGCGTTACTGGTGAGTTTTTCTTCCAGCCAGCACTCCAGCGAGCCTCCTGGAGCAGCTCACACAATTTCTAGTTAGCGCCAGGCTTCTGACGACAAAGGCTACATGATTCAGAAGTGTGCGGAAAACGAGATGAGAGCGGCACTGCCCATGGTTAGGAGAGCCCGCATGATCACGAAAATTCTCCAGCAATCCATGTTCCGTGCAGCTTTTGCCGTATCATCCTTTGTGAGGAAGCCTCCGACCCATCTCTTGGGCGTAAAGAAGCCTGCCGCCTCCATTCCAAGTGTGCGCCCAGGACCGAGCATTCTTCGCAGCAGCAAGCATCTGCCCCAAGCGGATGCACGACCCGCTGGCAAACGAGCGCTGGCGAAGGCTGATCCCCATCCACCAAGAGCTCTCGCCATGCGGCCTCGAAGGCACCGACCTCGTCTACCAAGCCAGCTCGATCTCGAAGCTCCAGGCCTTCGAGCAGCGACAGCTCCTCTTCGGACCCCATCAACGACATGTATTCCAGTGACTCTGACGAGGGGAAGCCCACACGAGCTAGTATCCGGAGACTTGGAATGGCAGAGTGTATTGTTGAGGCATCAAAATCAATGGGTCCGCCTCCACCCCAACCGGTGAATCGGTCGATGCCTTCCTTGCCTTCACCATCTCCAGCTACACCTGCACATCCCTTTGCTGCTTCTGCACCGCCGCCACCTACTCCGGCTACGATGACGCCGGCTCCCTCGCAGGTCACCGTGAGCACAGCCCCGACGCCTGAGGGTGGCTTTGAGGTTACTCTAATTATCCCTCCTAGGTGGCCTCGCTTTCATGTGGACGCTGTGGAGTGGTGAGTTAGCCTCCTATTCGTTTCTGCAGGCCTTCGGACGTGTCTCGGTCCGATCGAGAAAATTTCGTGATTAATTTATCAACCGCACGGCGCAGGCATCTTCATCAGACTGAACGCTCTTACATTGGCAATAGCGCGCCCCTCTTGATCAGGCAGTATTCTGCGGATGCCGGGGCCACGGCACACGGCTACAGGTGCAGTACTGTGCTCTTGTAGTGAAAGCCATGGTTTCGATTCATGTCAAAACAGGCTCTTAACGGATGAGCTCCTGCATTCCACACAGATAATCACGCTCCATCACTTTAAGCCAGCTGCTGCATTCCTTACAGGATGAAGTTACACTCCGAGGCTAGATACAGTGCTGACTCCTCGGAGCGGCTGTATGTGCATGTGCTGATCCCACGGGACGGCATGCGATGGCTGCCCGCGACGGATGCTTCCGTCCCCGTCGGCTCTCTGTACTCTAGCAGCTGCCGATTTTCTTGTCTCACCCCCGATGCCTGCCAAGGTGCGGGACAACCCGCACGAGCGTTTGAATGAATGAATACTACTGTCACTTCTTCTACCGCGACTACGAACAAGCACCAGCAGCACCAGCATCACCAGCAGAACCAGCAGCACCAGCAGCACCAACAGCACCAACAGCACCAACAGCACCACCACCCGCACTGCCAGCACAGACGCTGCTGCTGCTGCAGTAGCCGTAGCCTCAGAAGAACCACGGTAGGACAACCGTGCCAGTGACAAAGCTTCATCGAGCTGAATTTGGGTTCGGGAAAGGCGCATTCTTTTGTTCTTGGCATTCAGGGTTCCATGCGTGAAGTCCCAAAAGGAAAGCCCACATGTCCATGTGGCAGGACCTGGATGGCTGGGAAATCGGCGGTCGCATCTCCTGGACCCCAAAGCGGCATCTCTTGGCCAGAATCGAATGTTTGGGATTCGGGGCTGAAGCTAGCAGCTAGCAGTTTTGGGAAGCAATTTCCGGTGGGATCTGTGTCTGCAATTTCCGGAGTAAGATGTTTCAGAACCAGGCGTGCTTGAACACGTGCAGGACGGAGCCCACCGATTTCGGGCCGGCTGCCGTAAACCGTGCCCTGCTCGGGCCCCGGCAAAGCAGATCAAGCGGCGGTTCAGAAGGATTCTGGAATTCGCCGCTAGAGCTGTGCAACGGTTCTATGATTTTCGGAGACACCTTGGCGACTTGTGGAAAGAGAAAGGTTCGCGAAGCGAAGATGGTTTTTGAGCCGTACCCGTGCAGATTGCTAGCTTCTGAAGCCAGCGAGACTGTACTCTTCGGGGCTTCACAAGACGAGCAGTCCGAGGTACTACCGGCTGTACTTAGCTGATGACGACATCGGAGTGAACCGGGCGTTGCTGAACTACAAGGTGGGACTAACTTCCGTCGAAGACCTCCGCCCGACCTTGTCTCCAGGTCCCCTCGTTCCGATACCTGCGCTTCACAGTCCTCGCACTTCGCAACGACACCTTTGCCACAGGCAGCTATGCATGCCAGCAGTGATCTGCAGACAAGAGGCTTCACTCTGGCGTAACCGCCGCTCTCTGCCCAATTTTCGTTCGCTTTTGGACTGCACAACCATCGGAGTCGCTTGATGTCTGGGTGAGGTGTTCAGATTGCTGACATCGAGTTTCGTGTGGCGGGTGTCACTTTGGGCCTGACGGGGGCTCTGGCCAGCAACGAGGGCAGCTTGGCCAGACTGTAAGCAGGTTAACCCGACTTCTGGAGGAGTGGCTTACTTGGGACTGAGCAGAGTTGGTTTACGAGCCATACCAGCGCATGATTGGTCATGTCTTAGACCCTGCAGGTGGCATCAACCCTTCTGGAGAAGGACTGTCCCATCCGATATGGAACGAAGCTCGTCAGCTCTCCTTTCACCGCTAATGCTGCTTGGATCTGGGGCTTCGCTTGACCAGCCAGACGCGGGCAGTTGTGGGCATGAGGCATGTTGTTGCTGTATGACGGTGTAGTTTCGACGGCCAGGGCTAGGTCTGCGACGTCCAGCGGGGCTTCTATCTCTTCTACACGTTGACATGTTGTTATTTGCGGATGACGTCTATATGTTTGGGTAGTCGAGCCTTGTCAGCCCGGTGGTTCATACAGCTGCTAGAAGCTGCGACAGAGAGCAATGTAGTGCACCGGCGCTCCGTTGATTCAATCCAGAAAGCCACAACAGCCCAATACTCCAGGCATGTCAACACCAACAGCCGGAGCACCACTGCCCGGAGTTTGCAGGACCTAGTGAAGCCATCGACGGCTCTGCTGCCACAAAGTGGTTCGATTATCAAAGGGCTCCCTTGGTGGTGCAGCTTCCTTCTGCCCACCTGGTGGAGGCCTGAACGCGTTTTGGATCGTCCGTTTGCATGAATTCTAGTTGACACGAGCTTGGACTACTCATGCAGCTGCTGCTCTGGCACCTAGAGCCCAAGCCAGATCTCTGGCCTCCCAATCCTGCGACCACTGGCACGATCTTCACGCCGCTAGACTTCTGTGACTACTGTCTCACGTTTCGAGGTCTGGCAGGACAGCCCCTACAGCAGATTTCGCACTTACTTTCATTCTCAGCGCCCTCGGCACGCTCTCATAGTCCAGGGTCAACTGTGTCAGCTTCGCTATGGAACCACGACTCTGGGCTTTTTGGGCTTGGCCCTAACCATTTACTCAGTCGGGACCACCTTTAGAGCTTGGGGCACGTTTGTTGTGGGTGTTGTTGGTGTGGTTGTGACAGGCCTTCCGCTTCACCACCGCAAGTGACGAGCCGGATCGTGATCCCGTGCAGTGGAAGCTCGAAGGCTCAGTTCTCGGCGGCTCGGCCACACGCGCACACCCTTCCGCCCTCCACGTTATGCTCCAAATATGAGGTGATGGTCTCGGAGCTTGGAGCTGGGGTTGTTTCAGCATCCTATGAACGCAACCTTTGGACGGAATATCCTTCATCTTCATGACCATTGGCAAATGCATCATCACCATGATCACCATGATCACCACCATCATCATCATCATGATCATCATCATCATCATCATCATCACCAGCATCACCATGATCACCATCATCATAATCATCATCATCATCATCCTCAACACCACCATCATGATCATCGCCACGACCATCACCATCACCATCACCATCACCATCACCACCACCACCACCACCACCACCACCACCACCACCACCACCACCACCACCACCACCGCCACCGCCACCGCCACCGCCACCGCCACCGCCCCCGCCGCCACCGCCACCGCCACCGCCACCGCCACCGCCACCGCCATCGCCATCGCCATCGCCATCGCCATCGCCATCGCCATCGCCATCGCCATCGCCATCGCCATCGCCATCGCCATCGCCATCGCCATCGCCGCCGCCGCCGCCGCCGCCACCGCCACCGCCACCGCCATCACCATCACCATCACCATCACCATAATAATATTAATATCTATCTATCTGTCTTTCTGTCTCTCTCTATCTCTCTTTATCTCTCTGTCTATCTATCTATCTATCTATCTATGTATCTGTCTATCTATCTATCTATCTATCTATCTATCATCATCATCGAGTCATCGTCATCATCCTCATCACCGTCGTCATTGTCATCAGCGTCGTCGTCATCGTCATCGTCGTCCTCCTCCTCATCATCATCATGGTCATCATCACCATGGTCATCATCATCACCATCATCATCAACATCATCATCATCATCAACATCATTATCAGCAGCACCCTTGCGCAGCATGGACAGCACCAGCATCAGCAGCAGCACAGCATCGACATCATTTCCCTCCTCGTCGTCGTCGTCGCCATCAGCATCATCATCATCTTCTTCTTTATCATTATCTTCTTCATCATCATCATCACCACCACCCCCTCATTTTCACCACCAGCGTCACATTCAATATCTGCCAAGTGTGATGATGATGATGATGATGTGATGAAGAAGATGACAATATTTTTTGATGTTGCTCATGATCGTCATGGCTGGATGATTGATGATGATGATGATGATGTTGATGATGATGTTGTTGGCGATAATGATGGTCCTTCTTCTTCTTCCTCCTCCTCCTCCTCCTCCTGCTTCATCACCGCGGCCGCTTGTGCCTGTCCCCAACACCTGCAGCATTACCACCATCATCATCGTCCTCGTGCTCTTCCTGTTCCCGAACTTCCTGCACTCTTCCTTGTTGCTTCCACCTCGTCGTCGCTGTCGTCTCCCAACCCTCCTGCCACTCTGGCGACATCTCATGCTTGTGCTCCTGGTCCTCTTCCCCAACCATACTCGGCAACAGTCAGTTTCGGGTCCTGGTCCTTCAGGCAACTACTGGTTCGAGCTCCACAGCCAGCAGACGACCTATGCCACACCGGAGGGCCGAGAGCTTTCGAGCGAATGGTTCTCCTGGAACGAGGACGGCTGGGCATTACGCGACAGAGCTTCGTGAAGACTTGTAGCATCTCCAGTCTTCGGTTACGGATCGTTGTCGTGCGTAAGCCTTACAATTGAGTTCTGAACATGAAGGTGAAACGGCTGACTGCTGGAACACATAAGACAAACTTGATTCGCAGCTGCGAACTCCACTCCCCGAAAGTCTTGCCCGGGTGTTGACTTTGGGTTGGGTCGCCTCGGGCTTCGAAGGTTCTGCAGGGCTTTGTGACTGTTTGCTGGCAAATCTTTGTCGTTTTGCTCGCTTTCTAATGGTTGAAGAAGAGGCACCCCTGCAGAAGTTGAGCACGGCCTTCCGAGCAGAGCCGTCTGCAAGACAAACACAAGTTCAAGGCTTTAAGGCGTCACAAGGCCACGCCTCATTGTTTCTGCCGTTGTGAGGACATCAGGTCCGATGCTCCGGACGTCGGCATGGAGCCTTGATCGGACTGTCTCTCTTGGCTTCCTTCAGCTTTACTGCTTCTTCGCGTCCATTCACCCTCTCCTCGTCTCCGCATTCGCCTGTTCCTGAGCAGACTCAGGATGCTGCCGACTTGCCGCCGGAGTGCTTGAGACGCAGAGGGTGAAAGGTTTTCACATAAAGTGGGGCTGCAACCAGCGCCTGAGTGCATCAGGGGCAGCAAGGCGATGCTTTGAGGTTGTTGTTTGGCAAACAAGTCCGGCACATAAGGTATGCGCAACTCGGAAGCAGATCGGACGACTTCCGAAGCTTCCGGTGCTGTCTGGCCTCTGGCGCCTGCCCCTTTACCCCTGCAAGCCCGACTGCAAGCTTAGTCCAAATCATCGAATCTATTCCGTACAGTAAAATACAGTTGGGATCAACTCTGTCAGAACTCCGTCTGGCTGAAGGTCATGTTCCTGTCCGTAATGACAGCAGGGAGAATGACATTTAGGGTGCCGTACTCGGCTAAGGACATATGGCCGCTCAACCCTCTTGGTCTACACAGAATCTTCCTTCGTGGAGCAGACGACACCTGCAGCTTTCCAGGTCACAGACCAGCAACTGAGCAGCATGCAGAAGAGACGAGATGCGGCAACCACCGTAAGGGGAATCTACGAACCGTCAGCAGAAGATGTCGCCAATGCCAATGCATCCAGCCGTTGGTTGCATGCATTTGGCGAAGTCGTACTGCCAGAGCGTCATAGAAGCATCGGGCCTTGAGGAATTCCACAGCTGAAGATCTCGGCTTCCCTGACCTGGACCTGGACTACGATGAACTTGGAGGCGGGTGCAGTGCCTTTCTGTGACACTCGTCACCATTAAGCGTCCAACAATATACTGTGGCAGGCACTCTCTCGTGGTCCGACCCCGTCATGACAAGCGAGATCGAGCAATATTTGGTCTACCTGGCGGGTGCATCTTGGCCGGAGTGGTTCACGGCAAGTCTCCGTCCAGACATCCCGTTGGCTCTGTTCAGCGGATGAAAAGCATGAGCTAGGTCCACTCATGGCACAGATGTTGTCAAACAGGCCTTGCTGTGATGTACATAGCCGGCACAATGGACTCCTTGGTCACCTTCTCCCAAGGATGAGGTTGGCAATGATCGCTCGCTGTATGCGAACTTCAGCTTCGGCGCCACCAACCTCTCCGTCCCTGCAGAGACCAACAGATCCGGCTACATCTACTGGCTGGCACCTTGACGGAATGTTGGCTTCGGGAATCTTCAGCTCGTAATAGCTGCTGGCCCCTTCGTGTGCTCAAAACTGTCGTTCATGAGGTTTACACGACTTCTAGCCTCATAGAGCAGACGACTCCGGCGGAGCTACTCATCTTCGACGTCAATGGCACTGTGGATGCACCCTTCTTCGTTGGCCAGGCTCCTTGATCTCAGCACGAAACACAATATCCCTCAGCCGTGGGCCCTATATAGGCCCTATGGGCATGTCCAGGGCATGTCGGACGAGCAATCTCGCCTTGAGTCAATAGATTGAAGCCTTCAAAGTTAGCGGCACATGTCGCACGCCCCACGACCCGATGCACGGAGATGAACTCGTTCTCCTTAGTCCTGCAGCTTTTTGCTTCACCGGCCCGTAGCGACATTCCTGTAGTGTAACTGGCATCATGCACGAAACTGCAGGATCTGAACTTGGACAATCTGGAGGGCTCCTTGCAGTGGACTCCACAGGCTGTGGGCAAGGATCAAACGCGATATCTGCGGAGTTGGAGGGGGCTGTCTGGCAGGCATCCTCAGCGCAGACGCAAAACATCCAGGACTCGGGGAGTGGCCACATGCGTCTCTGCTTAGAGAAATGCTTGTTTACGGCCGAAGGACTACATCATCTACCTGGCAACTAGCTCCAGTGGGGACACGAGGTCTCAGGCGACCTGCCCTTATCAATCTTCGTATCTGCCGATTGTGGGCAGGATGCGGCTTGTCGCTTGCACGTCGCAGGTCGGAGCAGCTGTGCCCGTGGGGACCAATCTGCTCTTTGGGATGCAGAAAGGTATCTATGTCTCATCTCTTCTCTGCACGACAGCTTCGCCATGACAGCAGTTTGAGCTGAGACAGTGGTCCGAAGTCGTGGAAGTTTATCAGGGCTTCAACTGGGAAGTCAGCAAGGTTTCCGCAGCCGGCAGGCCGCAGGTCTTGAACTGGAGTTGCATCCACAGCAAACTCAGTAACATCGGCTCCAGCATTGTAGCTGTCGGGG